AGAGCTTAAGGAGTATACTGTGACACAATTTTCTGAAGGAAAAAGCTATTTCCTGCTTTAAAAAGAGAATTCTGGGGTGTTTCCTTTTCCTGTACTGTACAGTACAAGGTAGCTTTTCAATTTACTTGCACTTATAAAGACGTAAGCAGAGAAAGCCAAAGCCACAACTACCAATGTCGATGGCCCCACAAGTAGAGGGAAACATTCCATTACTACCTTGTGCAGTATAAACCAAATGAAGAAAAAAATTTTACACATTTACCATTGGCTGATTAGACATAGATCTGTTATACTCCAGTGCTGTTTTTCTTTTGACCAACCCAGCATGTTTAACTACAGCTAAAGGTAGCTTCTGATGAGAGATGTAAATATTTGTCTTTCCTATTTACAGACAATGGTAACAATACTTTTACAATAACCCATTTTCACCAGGCACCTTCTTGTTTCTCCCTTACTTAAGGGACATGTGTCTACTTGGAACCACACTAGAGCTTTTGAAACATACAAGCAGTTTTTCCAGCCTTCACCCTGTTGGGTGTCAGACTGTACCACCTGCTTCTCCTCATCTCCCAGGGTCCTTCCCCAGCAGCTCTAAGTGCCCAGGAAAGCCAACATCCAAAGGATCCCCGTACGTACCCAGGGGTGGATACAGCTGGACTGGACATGTTCTTCAGGTATTCCCAAGTTGCTTCCCAAAGGACAGGAGTGACGACAAAGTGGGAGCCACGGTGTTTCAGGCTTTCGTGTTTGTCCTAGTCAGTGCTGAGGGCCGGCAAGGCACTGTGCAGTAGTCATGCACTTCCATGAAGCATTCCGCAACTGGTTTCCATCTCGTAGTTGTGAGTGAGCAAACAAAATCCTACGACGCTATGGTGATTCTCAGTTGGAACTACCACCTATATTTAGATGTTCTCTTTGATGTTGTATATGTCAGGAACAAGAAAATATTCTGTGTTGAAATGAGCTACTTCAATAAGAAAAACATTTCTATATTTCAGCAAGACTTCTTGACATATTTTTTAAATAACTACTTGTGCAGAAATGGGCTCTACAACCCATTGAGACTAAAATGAAAATACTTAGAATTGAGGACTTTTTAATTTAAGGAAATTCTCTTGAATAAACTTCCCAAGAATTATTCTAAATAAGTGCATGACACTGGTGGCAGCAAAAGGACTTGAACATCTAAGACATGACACTATTGATTAGAAGGACTAATAGATTAATTACACAGAAATTTGATTTTTTAAAAACAGAGTGATATTTTCCAAGAGATAGGAGGTAGGGCCATGGCTTTACCATTCCACATGCAGACCATTCAGCTAGCGCTCACCCAGGCTGGCTCCTGAGCTACACCATCTCTATGCAGAGCCTAAGTCCCCCAGCATGCTTCAGCTTCATGAGCTCCAAGTGCAGAGACACGGTGTCTACTCCTGGCTGGTTTGGGCACTTTGGTTCAGGGTGGCTGAGCATGTGAGATGTGAGAAGTTTTTCCACTCACTGAGAAACTATGTTGATATTAAAACATAAACATAACCCAAATGAGCCTTCATTTTCTTGGCCTAGAAGAGTACGGCAGCGTTAAAGCAAAAGTAAATTAACCAAGTATTTTGAACAAATAACAGAGTGGGTGTGCAGTTTTATGTCTAGTTCTAAAACACACATTGTAATAGAAATAGGATTTAAAAGAAAGTGGACAGCTATACTGTCAATTAAAATACATTAAAATAAAATTAGAAATAGGGGCTAGGGTGGTGTGTTAGTTACTTTTCTCTTGTTGCTGAGACAAAATACTGGGTAACCCAAGTTAAAAGGGAAGGGGTTTATTTGCCTTATAGTTCATAGAGGTTTCAGTCCACAATTGGCTGACTCCAAGGCAGGGATGACAAATAGGCCTCATGGAGGAGAAACAATATGGTGTGCACAAGGTAGTGAAGGTAATAAGTGAGAGTTCAGCAGCATCTTTCTGCCCCATTTATCTTATTCAGACCACCAGGATTATGGCGGTGCCAAACTAATCACTCACATGTAGTGGTTTAATAATCACACACCCTTAACCCCAGCATCACGCATTCCAGATTCAACTACTTCTGGAAAACAAAGTCCCACCTCATTCTCATGAGGGTCTGGGGGGACCTCTGAACACAAACCATAACAAGTGGCTAGAGTGTAGCTCAGCAATAGAGCACTTGCTTGGCATGTGAGAGGCCCTGGGTTCAATCCCCAGCACCACCAGAAGGAAAACAAAATTTTAATTAAAGCGAATGGCTAAAAAGCATACCTAAATAAAATCAGCATTTATAAGGTAATTAACACTCAACTATGGACAGCTAGTTTTAGATCCATGAAAATATTTTTCTTAATTTTAAACAGTAACTAGTTGAGTTAAACAGTGTGAAATATATTCTAATAGAATCACACAGCTTTGGAAACTTGCTGTTTGAGGTAAAACTGCTAATTCTGGAATTAACCTTCTCTTTATTCAAATGGTATAATTTTCACATATTAGGTTAGTTATCATTTTAAAACCATTTACTTTCTTTGACGCAGAATTCCCAATATTTTCTGAGTATTCAGAAAAGTTAAAGAATTTTAATTCCCTATGATCAGTTTGGACAGAATTAAAGGGTTTTTTTCCTTTGCTCTAAAACAGGAGAAAATGATCTGATTGAGAACTAAGAAGTTTCCACCCAAAATCCAACTGCAAGGAAGTCCTGGGAAAATGACTGTGTACGCCTCTGATCTGGCTACTCTTGTCCCCTGGAGGCCGGGCCATCCTACACCAGCCCAGTCTGACATCTTCCACACCCCAAAGAAGGCCCATACCTGACTCTATGTAAGGTGGAGATGACTTTGGTTCAAGACCATGAAGACTTATGGTCACCAGAGTGGCCCTTATATTAAGATAGTTCCTTGGGAACCTTCCAAATGGTCATGTTCCTAGCTTGAACCCAGAAGCTACTTATTGTCAATAAAGTAAACATGATTTCCCTAACCCATCTGGTCATGTAAACCTTCTTTATGTCAGACTTCACTGAGGATCTTTACAGCCTGGAGGAAATACTCAGATTAGGAAGACGTGATTAAAAAAAACAAGAAAAGTAAAAGAACACTAGGTATCAATGGGGAATTAAATTTGCCTCCTATGGAAAAAAGTCATTTTGAAAATGAAAATAGTTCTGGATGGTGGTGACAGTTGCAACAATGTGAATATATTTAATGCCACAAACTGTACAATTAAAAATGGCTAAAGTGGTGAACTTTGTTGTATACAATTTCATCAGTCTTGTACTAATTAATACTCATACTACCCCCCAACCCAGTATGAACACATTTGGCCAAAATTTAAGAAACATTCTAAAATCAGAAAAGGACAAGGCATTATCTTTTCATTTTTGCTAAAGCTCTCATCATTTAAAAACATAAAGGTAGAAAGTCATTTAGCATCACACAATGGTTCTCCTCGAATTTATTATTGACTTTTAAAAGTGGTGCTAATTTATATGTAGCCCCTTCTGACTAGTTTATTACATTCCTTACACAACTAAATAAAAACAGAGAAATAACAAAGGAACCCAATATCTCTCCCTAAAAATGTTCTATATGAATACTGTCCCAAAACATAGCAACTATTGAAGTTTCTTCCTTTTTATTTTCACTAAATTGAAATGTGCTTTTTTCATAATTTGGACTAGTCTTGCCCCATGCTAATTTCTCCCCCAAACACACTTAGGATGCGCCTACTGGGGTAACTGCTGTCATGGTAACAGGTTACCAGTCCTAGTGGACACTGTTCTTTTTGGTGCTGAATTGATGTAGAAATCCTTACCTTGGGTGAAGAGATCCAAGGTGAGTGGTAACATATGAATGCGGAATTAAGGGTTCGGAACAGCAATTCTAAAAATACCAGTCCCAGCAGGCTGCAGCAAGCTGCCAGATGTCTACTTGTAAACACAAAAGGAAAGTTCATGTTTTCTTGGTCACAGGAATGTAGCAAGGGGACCATTTGTGACAGTGCCAGTTACCCCACAGGGTTATGCAAACCATGCGCCATCCATGCAAGGGGCTCAGCAAGTCGAGTCAGAATTCTTGTTTTGCATAGCTGTCAAGGTAACACAAAGCCCCTCCACCTGAGTTTACTGATTTTCCACCAGAAATTGAAATATAGTGGGCACCATTGGATATCTTGCCTGTGTAGTACATACAATTGATCATCTCCACTGCAAAAGGACATGAATGTTAATTTCATATGCCACAGCATTTAACATAAGCTTTTTAAAAATTTTATTGGAGAAATATGAACATGTGGGAGAATGTTAGCACCAAACACCTTGTTAGGTAAATCACTTGTTAGAGAGGGATTTGTGACTTTGAAGTGGTATGTCATTACCAAGATTTAAAAAATTGTTTTGTGTTTATTGAAACTCAAAACAGATGAGCAAAAGTACCTCCAAAATAAAGATTACCTAAATGAACTAGAAAAGTACTTCCAAAATAAAGATGACCAAAAATTAGCCTGAGAATATCTGCAACACATTACCTCAGACTCAGCGGCTCAAACTCGAATCTGTTACCCCACAGTCCTGTGGGGCGTAAGTCTGACCTAGGCCTCACTGGGCTGACAGCAAGGGGCTGCTGGGCAGGACTTCTTCTGGAGGCTCCAGGAGAGGTTCTGCCTCCAGGCCTTTTCTAGCTTCTAGGGCTTCCCAGCACTCAATCTCCAAAGCTAGCAAGGTGCCTCTCTCCTCCCTCTCTCTGACCCTGACACTCTTCCAAGTCCTCTTCCACTATTAAGGGCCCTTTGGATTCCAACAGGCCCCACTGCAGAATCCAGAATAATCTCTCTTTCAAAGTCAGCAGATTAGTACCTTAGTTTCCACTGCAACCTTTATTTTCCTTTACCATTTAACCCAGTGTATTCATAAATTCTGGGATTAGGGTGCAGCTATGTCTGTGTTTGGGGTCATAAAGACTATTCTCATTAAATACTCACGTAAATATACACTAAATACACCACAGTTTAATAGTTTTGTGACACTTCAATAATTGTCATTCAGTTGTCTTAATCCACACAATTTATCTTTTTAATCTAAATAAAACCCATTAAAATGGTCAATTACAACAGTGACAAAAAAAGAGAGATAACAAACTGTACAATATTACAAAGTAGTGGTTATTTGTGTTAATATGTATATATAAACATATACACATATATACACATACATGTAATTTTAATGTTAATCAAGTGGTTCTAGAAAATTAATACACAACAAAGATTCCCAGAAAGGTAATGCTTATAAAATATGACCATGCTTATGAGGATCCGAACTCAGCCCAAGATGAAATTCTTAATAAAGAAGGCAAAGGTCGGAGACAAAGAGATTCTTTCTTCCCAGGCTGGCCATCTGTCTCTTCTTGTTTCCTTCTCATTTTTGTCCTTTCATTGTCCATGTTAAACTTCTGTGTTCAAGGCCTGCCGCTGTGTCAAGTGACAGGATCCCTTCCGAGTGAAGTCAAACTACCAACCCTCGATGACACCAATGCAGCTGCTTCTGAGGAAATCATGGAATGATGAAGGAAAATCATCCATGTGTCAGTCCACACAGTGTACCTGCAATTACGGAGGAAAGGTCCTCACTCCCTCCAGGCCTGATAGGCTAGCTTTGGCTTTCGAAAAATACTGTGCTTGCAAGTGTGACCACTGTCACTGGCAAGTGCTGGTGCCCCGCCCGTGGCAGATTTAAAAGACAGGAATGTGGTAGTGGCGGTCGTTTTCTGTCAGCAGGGAGATCTCAGGCCACTCCGGGAGAGGCTCCTCTGGGTAGCACATTGCAAAGTCTCTGGAGTTGAACTTGAACAGACGGAACACTTTTATCTTCACTTCAAGGGAATATCCCAGTATAAACATATCAATCTGGTGATGAAAGGAAGGTCATACATTTTCAAATTCCTGCCTCCCACCTTGGCGGGGGTGTGTTCTTCTGCAGCTCATGAAATAATCTCCTTGTTTACAGACCCACCCACAAGCCACCGAGCGGGCACAGACTTAGGAACAAATGCCCATTGTGTGGAAGGAAGGGGTAAGGTAGGAACAACTCTAGACGAGCTCAAAGAAATCAGTGGAAAAGCTGTTCAGAAAAAATTAATTAAAACAAAGAATGTTCACAATTAAAAGTTAACACCGTTTTCCAACCAATTTGATCCTATTTCAAATCAATTTGTGTAAGAGTGTCAGACAATTATGTTTATTCTCTAGGAAAGCAAAACGAAAGAAAAAAGAAACTCTTATCCAGGAGAAAAATATAAAAATTTTTCTGGACCTAAAATTTTTAAGAATTTATATTTATCTGTAATATATAACCAAAAACTTTCCTGAAGTTACCTCATTTTCCAATTGGCTTTTCTCCTGCTTACTCCTCTATGGGAGAACCCACTACACCAAAGCGAGAAGTTGGCGAGACACCCGATACACTCCAGTCTGCAGACACGCACGGCACCCAGCACACTACAGTGAGGCATATTACTCTTATTTTTCTCAGCTGGGGCCAATGTTATCAATCTATGCAATGTTTTTTGTTTTGTATTTTTTGGTACCAGGGATGGAACTTGGGACCTTGCGCTTGCAAGGTAGGTGGCAGCACCACTGAGCTAAATCCCCATCCCCTTATGTTATAAAGCAACCACCTCTGGGCAGTGGTTTTATCACTGCTGAAAGCAAACCCCAAAGGCCTCTGTGCTCAAGTACTGTCTGTGTCATCTCTTAGTCAAACACATATTTTCCTCTTCCCCACTTACCTGCTCTAAGCCACACGTGTCGCCTACAGAATTCAGGTGATTCATCATGAAGCTCAAAGGATCTGATGATGTCTCTCTGGAAAACAGGAGCCTAAAAAGACTGGGAATGATCTTGTTAGTCTTCATTTGTTCATAAACTTCAGTGACTTGATAAAGCATGATGAACTTTAACGCTTCGTAAAGCTTATATTCCAGAATGGCGTCAGAAAAAAGGATGTTGCACATGCTGCCTCTCTTGTGATAATCCTTAATTCCACTAAATTCAGTCCACTAAACAATGTAGATGTAAAAGTGAAATTTAGAAGGGCAGAGGTGAATATACACATCGCTGCATAACTTTACAGTAGTGATAACATAAGGCAAACATTAATGGAGGCCAATACAAGGTGCGATCAAAAAATACAGTGTGCTTAAATAAAAAAATTATAGCAGTAAAAGACACACTGCCATTAATCCCCCTCAAGTACCCACCTCGCCCAATGAACACTTATCTCACTGCTCCTGCCATTTTCTGAAGCAGTTCTGGAAGTCCTTTTTCATATTTCTAGTTGCACTGTTGTGGGTGACCTGAAGTCTTGAATTAATTCAAAGTGTTTACCTTTCACAGTCACTTTGACTTTGGGGAAGAGCCAAAAGTCTCACAGTGCCAAATGCAGTGAATAAGGTGCACGAGGACACATGGGTACATTGTTAAGATTGCTCTCCCATTGGGCGCCGCTTGGCAGCAGCATTTACAGTACTTGTAATCACACTGTATAAAGACACTTATGAAAGAGGACTCCAGAACTACTTTAGAAAGTGCTAAGTGCAATGGAATGAGTGTTCAAAGGAGAATTAATGGCAACGTCTTTTAGTGTCATAAATTTTTTTAAAATTACTCACCACTTTTTTCTATCACCCCTTGTAAAACTTTTTAACTTTTCACTTTATATCTTTTGCACTGACTTAAAAAAAAATACTGTGACAGATTGAATGTTTGTTTCCCCCTAAAAGCCATATGGTGAATGTCTAATTCAGGGTGATGGCCCAGGGGTAAGGCCTTTGGTAGTGACTAGTTCCTGTGGGTGGAGCCCTCCAGATGGGACCAGCCTTCATGAGGAGGCCAGAGAGCTAACTAGTTTTCCTCCTGCCTGTGAGGACACAGCAAGAAGATAACCAAGAGGAACCCCTCACTAAACCCCACCCTACTGGCTCCTTCTTCAACTCCAGCTTCCACCTCCACTTTCCGGTATTTTATTACAGCAGTCTCCCCCACCCCTCCCTGTCTCTCTCCTTTACAATAACAAGCTAATTTAAATAAAATACTTTCGCAAAAAGGCATTACCTACTAGGTTAAGTAACCACCACATCGGTTCTCTAAAACTGTAATAGTTGGGTTTTCCGAAAGATATTCCAATAAAGAATGGTGCTAGGGTTCTTCAGCACTCACTGCACACCAGGCACAGTTCACAGTGGTCTACGTGTGTAATGTCAGGGTATGGGCTATTCATATTTCTCTTTTACAAGGGATTTCTCAAGTAACGAGGCTCATTCCAATTGTCCAAAATCCACGTCATTTGTTAACGGCAGGAAGAACTCTTAGTCCACTGATTACGTGTGAGCCCTCCTCGTGTTATGAACAGGGTGCACTGCAGAGGGCATTTCAGAGCTCCTCATCTGGAACCTGCACATTGTCCCCAGGAAACAAAGTTGCAGGACAAAGGTACATGACAGATCAGCCCAAGGAAGCGCCTTACCCTGTCACAGTCCTAGTTATAACTTAGAACAATGTTGCTCTTCATTACTCCAAGAAAAAGACATCAACTACTGGAAGAAGCATTTCTGCTTGCATTTCTTATTTTCCTTTCCGGACGGATATGCCTGATATCAGAGAAGGCTGGCTACATTGGGGCCACGCGTTCACATTCCCTCTTTTTGTTACTGTTCCCCCGCCCTGAATGCTCACCTGCGTTTTCAACAATTCTACACATTTACGTAATTTTCCAAACACGTTTGAACCTGTATACTTCTCAGGACCAAAACTGTACTGCTGGATCCAATTACAACCTTGTGAAAACAGCAGTTTTTCAGGAAGCTTAAAAAAGAAGTCGATACCAACAATGATTAGTGTCTCAAGATCTGTTACATACAATTTGAAATATGTTGCAGCACACAATCTTATGTCTTTTAGCAATCTTCAGTTGAAAGACAGTAGTAACAAGTTAGGTGAGGTAAAAAACATATATTCATCTTTTCCTTAGATTTGTGGATTATACCCTAAAGAGTATATTTTTATCTCACTTCATATGTGATAAGAATCTAAAGATAGGATTATGCCCACAGAAACAATCTTTCCGGATAAAACACCACACCTCCAATACAGCTCTTTAGACACTATTTTTAACCAAAGGATGGGAGAGAATAGTTCATGACGGAGCAGGATGAATAATAAAGCCCTCCCTGGCTCAAACCCAGCTGTTACTCATTAGCTGAGAGAGGATTTAGCCAGCGAGGATTATTTTCACCTCTTCGTTTCATCCTCCACTATAGTTAAGGATAATCCTGGCCATTTCGCAGGGCTCTTGTTGGGGCTGAATGGCATTATGTTGTGTGTGAGAATCTGATCCACTACAGTATCCAATACATTTTCCCATCCAACTTAGCTTCTTAAACCCAGGGCCTCTGTTGCAGTCTTCGCCCTCAGCAATGACCAACCGGGCTAGCACACTCCATGTCTGACAAGTATTTGCCAGATAAGACAATTAATAAAAACAACTTTACATAAAAGACATCAAAGAAATAGAATTTGTGGATCTATATATTTCTTTGGCCATCTACCCTAGATCAGGCATACTGCACTCAAAATTAAAATTCAAGTTGTTCAAGAATATATCCCCTTGGAGGGTATGAGGGGAGGACAGGGGGATGGGGAAAAAATAAGAACCAAGATACCTCATGTACAGGTACAAGTTCCCATTGATGAATGTAACTGTATTGTATACCTAAAATATACCAATAAACTTAGTGAAAAAAAAAAAGAATATATTGCTGTAAACCAGGTATGGTGTCGAACACCTGTAATCCCAGCACTAGGGAGGCTGAGGCAGGAGGATTGCTATGAGTTCGAGGTCAGCCTGGGCTTCATAGTGAGTTCAAGGCCAGCCTGAACTGTACAGTGAGACCTTATCTCAAAAAAAAAAAAAAAGAATATGTTGGTGTGAACTGTCAAGAAAATGATAAAACAAGCCACAGGTTGGGAGAAAATACCTGCAAATCACAAATCTGACAAAGAATTTGTACTTAGAATTCTCAATATTCAACAGCAAGAAAATTAACCCATTAAAAAGTGAGTCAAAGATTCAAATAGACACTTTTCCAAGAAGGTAATATGGACAGAGAATAAACACATGAAAAGATGTTCAATATCAGTACTCACTAGGCAATAAAAACTAAAAGCACAGTAATACCAGTACATACAGATCAGAATGGCTAAAAATAAGAAATTGAACAACACCAAGTGCTAATGAGAACGTGGAGCAACTGGAACTCTTACAGAGTGACTGAGCCACTTTGGAAAGAGTTCCACAGTTTCTTGTACAGTTAAGTACACACCTCCCATAACACCAAGCGATCCAACTCTTAGGTACTTACCTGAAAGAAATGTAAACTAATGTTCATACAAAATGCTGTATAAGAATATTTAAAACAGCTTTATTCAGAGTTGCTAAACACTGGAAACAACCTTGATATCCTTCAACTAGTGAGTGGATAAACAAACTGTTAGATTCCTACGAAAGAACATCACTCCGAAATGAAAAGGGATGATCTATGAATGCATGGTACGACATAGATGAACTGCACATACCTTTTGCTAAGGGAAAGAAGATAGATTCAAAAAGCATACTGGACTAGATGACAGCATTTATACGACATTCTGGAAAGAGTGAAATTATAGGGGCAGAAATAGATTTGGGGTTGCCAGGGTCAAGAGGCGGGAAAGCAACCGACTCTAAAGGATTACAAGAGAAGTTCTGGGGTGGTGGTCATATGCCATATGAATTCGCTAAAACTCTAACTGTACAGTAAAACAGTGAGTTTTACTTACAAAGAGCAGATGACACTCAAGAAATGATGGGGCAGAACCAGGGATCTAGCTCAGCGGTTCCACCGCCTGCCTCGCAAGCGCAAGGTCCCAAGTTCGATGCCAAAAAAAAAAAAAAAAAAATTTAGAAAAACAAATAAAACCGAGTATAATGGTCTTTCTGAGATGGTTGATTTTCAGGCTGGCCTAAGAGACACAGGACTGGGTTAAATGACCCATTTTGTGATCCAGAGAACAAAGCTCCCCGGAGAACCCCAGGAGCTTTTGAGTTTCAGTCACTGCGCACAAGACACGTCCTATGTGGCCAGGGTGAACACATACCTTAACAATGTCCTTTTCCTTCATCCAGGATGGAAAAGAGAGGCCCTGGCTGAATATCTGAAACAACACCGATCTTAGAGCATCATAATTATCTCTCTTTACTTGTCGAACACATTTAATATGGTGCCTCCAGAACAAATCCTCGTAAGCCTATTAGCACAAAAAGAGAAAGTTTTAATTCAATTCACTGGACAAGAGAATAAGAAAATGAATCCAGGGCCAGAGATTTAGCTCAGTGGTTCTGGCGCCTGCTTCACAAGCACAAGGACCAGAGTTTGATCCCCGGCACCAAAAAAAAAAAAAAAAAGAAAGAAAGAAAAGAAAACAAATCCAGAGAACATACTGAAGAAGTGTTCTCAATGAGATACTCCTCCCATTAAAAATAATAATAAATGTAGTTTTAAAGTAACTCACATGTATGAGATTTGCATCATTCCATCTTAGATGACAAATCGTGGAAGGCCAGGGCAGGTCACTTTGGGTTGATAATGGATACGACACAATCACAATGAAAAGTCCCTTATATTTGTAAGGTTATGCAAAAGAGTCCTTTAAGTCCACCCTCTCTCCATTTTTGTTTTGCTTTTGCTAGTGACGAGACTGGGCAGCACTAGTCCAGTGGAAAATTCTAAACCTCCTTAAAATATTTATGTCAGGGTGCCTGATCCCTTCCAGGAAGAGGCTCCACTGCACACTAAACAGATGTTAACAGGCCTGGCGAGGAGAGCTGAAACACAATGCTCAATGCTCAGGCTTCCTGAAGTTACAGACCTAACAGAGGTCCTTAAGTCCTCAAAGGCACAAGCTCTAGATCAAAGGCCCAAGCCAACCTCAAGCAGCTGCGTGGCTTCTGAATTAGAGCTGCAGTATTCCTTGCACCCCTTGGGGACTGGCTGATCTCTAGACTCACTAAAGCAGAGCAGGAAGTTTCCTGATTTTGACAAAGTCTGCATCTTTCCATAACCTCTATAAACAGACACACCTTCCTCATCAGTTTGGCATGGGGCGTTTCTCCTTTCCATTCTCTTGCACAATAACTGAGCAGATCAACTTCTGCCTCCACACTGAGGTTCCCTAGACCAAATAAAAAATAAAAGGCAGTTAATTTTCCCTTTTCCTTCCCTCTTGGGCCTTCTCTGCACATTAAAAATAAGGAAACATACACATAAAATACTTACTTTTGAATTTTCTCTGCAGATAGCCAATCCACCTGGAAGGTAAAGAAAACAGTAATATCAAAAGTCTGCACTGAAGAGCAAGGGTATTTTTGAAATTTAAAAGTGATACAGTGACCTACCATTTCAGCCGGTGTCCTAAATACAACTGCAGTCTCCTGAAGTAGCAGAGGGTGGCCACCAGCAGGGACACGGCCATCATCACAGAGCCCTTGGCTATGCGCCAGGCAGTATCTAGGGCCTGGCTTGGAACTAGTGTCCAGGAGTGAACTTGGTCACTTCCTACAAAAACAAACAAACAAAAACCCCCAAACTCTATAGCAATTACATAAGTCTCCTTTAAGGAAAAAAATGCATATATTGAATCATTTTGCCTACCAAGTATCTACCACTGATTTAAATATTTTTAAAGTATTCACAGTTTCACTCCAATAATTATAGAAACAACTAGTTATCCCCATAACCAGTGTCACATAAGAACATCTTTGTAGCACAAAATTAAAGAGGGATAATGAACAGAGTAAGGACATCAGAATCCAGACTGGTCTTCTACGACTTTACTCCCTCTTTTCTAGCTGTATGACTGTGGCAGCCTGATTCCTCTTACCTTATATTCTCTGGACAGTAAAATGAGGGTGAAAATACCAACCCTGCTGGGGAAGGGCTGAGATACGGAGGCACCAGCACAGAGCCTGCACACATGTGGTCCTTGCTGAGTGCCTGCTGAATGCATGCACAACCACAGGGATTTGGCCAGGGTACACGACCAGCCATGAAGCCAGCGGCCCTCAGTCATCCACTCCTGCCCACTGTTGTACTTGTGGGTCAGGAATGGCCATAGTATATGGCTTCATTTTAGTTACACAGGAGGAGTGACTCAAAACAGCAGGAACACAGATGTCGTTTCCAGCAAGTGGGCCACGTAAAAGGAGAGTCATGAGGTGGATCCTGACATGCTGTTGCTGATACGCACCAATTCTTGATCTCATAAGGGATAAACTAATACATAGGCCTAGGAGTTCACATAGGGCACTTGCAAGGTTTTGCTGTGTTCAGTAGAGTCCTAACTGTATTCCATGTGAACATCCAAAATGCTGAAGTGCAAATGAGGAAGAGGACTTCTGAATAACAGCCAAACCTGCTGGGGTGTGTTGCAAAATAATTTCCTCCACAGCACACAATTTAGTAAAATTCCAGTGATCAAACACAGCAAAAGCCCTGTCGACGCGGACTCTGCAATTCTGGCATTTTTGATGATCAGGCTGGCTACCTGATGTGCACTGGCACTCTCGATGAAAAACTAATTTACCAACAAACACAGAAGACAATATTGCCAGCAAGAAAACATAGTCCCAGTTACTTAAAAGGACATTTTCAAACAAGTGCTTATCTATTTAGAATAGTTAATTAGCTACTCAAATCATATTTACCACCTAGAGATTTAATAAAATTTTTTATATTTAGAAATGTAAAACTGTCGTACTTTTACATCTACAATTTACATTTTTATTAATTCAGATGGCTTTCTCAACCTTGAAAATTCTGACACTGGTAAATATTTCTAGTAAATCTGCAATTCATGCAGGAATTAAAACTGTCTATATGATACATAATTTCTTTGACTGTAGCTGTAAGCATTTTCTAGAGAAATGGAACATTAGCCAGCCTGAGCAATTAGTGACTTAGCAGACCCTGCTACCCACACAAAGGGCTGCAGATGTAGCTCAGTACGAAGACCCTGGGTTCAATCCCCAGTAGTACACAAAAGCAAAAGCAAATGGAACATTATATATCATTTTATATTTTTTATCTGGCTCAGGGCAGGAAGGGCCAGGGAACATGACCATGCGTGCCGGGGCAGCACAGGGAGCCGACTGCAGGCGGCTGGGAGAGGACTCTTCAGGGTGCATGCAGGAAAAGCCTGGCTTCCCCAGTAACTAGAATAGCTACAGTCTGAGGTGCCGCGGCATGGCAGCCCCTGGGCTAGCGTTCTGGAGGGATCCTCCCACTTCCTCCCCTGAGCCGCACTGTGCAGCGACACTCTTCCACACAGCACCGACTGTGACTGGGGACAGGACAGACGATTTCACCTGGCTCAGCTTCAGTCTCCAGACCTTGGAATGAGGACAGCACACACGGAGCCTGGTACACAGTGAGCGCTCAACGCACACTTGCTCTTGTCAGCATCGCGTGTCACAACACAGGAGGCACAGCAGTACCAGCCTCTGTGAGCCACTGTGGGGCTTCATGAAAATCTTAGGAAAGTGCTTAGTGCAATGTTCATACCAAAGGTACCCAGTAAATGCTAATTATTCATGTATTGTTATCACTGTCTTCACCTTTATTTTGCAGATGAGAAAAAACGTTAGGGAGAAAAAGATTAAATAATTGCCTACTGACACTGAGCTAATAAGTGGCACAGCTAGAATTCAAAAAGATTGCTATAACACTAGAAGCAGCTTGTCTTACCCCTTGGCTGTGCTATTTCTGAATTATGGAGCCGAGTAAATTTTCAAACCAGTGTTGCTACCACAGGAGAATTAACACTTTTAAAACAGAAATTTGAATTCTCCTGCTAGGGCCAATAACTAAAAAAAGAGAAGAAAACACCATACTGAGACACCTCACAAAACAGTCTCATGACGAGAGTTTTGATGACCTCCTCAGTGGAATCTCTTTTCTACACACACAGCTGAAAGAGGGTAACGTTTCAGACATCAGAAGGTTCTGAGGGTCACCCCTTTCTGCCATGGAGAATTCTGCAGTAGCCAGCCGAACTTGTGATCCCTGTACCCAGGAGAAGTGGGAACCTGCCCAAGGGTGTCCTGGAGCTTGGTGACTGGGACTTGGTGAAGGAGGAAGAGTGGAGGGTTCACCCCCACAGGTTTGGTCATCCCTGGTAAGGAAAAACCAAAGGGAGTGTGGGAGGGCAAGTTTTGGCGATGAAGAATCTCTAGGAAGCACGACTTGCAAGAGGAAAGAGAGCTGCTGCCAAGCATTGTGGACTTGGTGCCTGTTAAGAGACACGCAAAAAATGAAGTTTCTTTTTTATTCTTTTGGGCTGAACCACTTGGGTGGAGGCTGACATGGGTCTGCATGTACAGGGCACTGCATTTCAGTGACACCAGAAACATATTAACCCAATCTCACACCTCCCCTTACCCTCTGGCATCAATGTGTCCCGAGACCCTGACCCAAACGTCAGAAGAAGTGGTACTTTGGCAGTTAAGACGAATGACACTGGGCCTCCTATAATCAACTTGTGAATATCTGACACTAAAATCTGATCAGTGACCACTCCAACTGTACAAGGCAGACACCTCTGACTACAACTACAAGAAGGCACTGTTTTCTGTGCTAAAATTCTACTTCATTTTTTTCCATTCTCTAGAACATATCAAAGCTGAAGTGATTCAAACACTAAAACAGGAAACCAAAAACCAAAGAAAAAAACCCCTGAAAACAAAACTAAAGACAGTGAAGTGCCGGAAACCAAGTGATTACGCAGACAGATCTACCCGGAGCCTGGGGCTCCCAGTGGCCGGAACATCACAGCTTCTCACAGAGAAACTCAGTAGCATCTGCTGTGCCTCCACAACTTCCAGTGCTGCTCTGGGTCCAGGACAGCTTCTCCTTATTCTCTAGTTCTTCATGGGCTGCCACACCGTCTTTAGCTCATCCACTTCCTCTCCAATCTTATTCATGGCACGCACCAGGACTAATGTGTCAGTCAGATTCCTACCCCGGTGACCAAACACCTGAGAAAGCAACTTGGAGGAGGACACACTGACTGGCCTCACAGTTTCAGAGGTTTCAGTCCATGGTTGGCCAGCTCCGCTACCTTTAGGCCTGTGATAAGCCAAGAACATCACGGAAGCCAGGAAGAAGAGAAAGAAGGAAAGACCTAGAAAGAGAGGCCCACCTCCAGTGACCCACTTCCTCCAAATGAGCACCACCTCCTATCAGCATATTCAGCTGTGAACTCACAACTGATTAATCTATTGATGAGGTCAGCACCATCATGATCCAATTAAATTTCCAGGCCCCACCTCTGAACATTACTGCATTGGGGATCAAGCCCTTAACACATGAGGGTTTGGGAATACTTCATATTTAAACCACAATACCATCGCACTTTCTCTCTACACACATCAACAAAATCAACTGCATTCAGCCCGATGACTATCTCCAACACAGGCAGAGGTGGCGTATTGAAGACTATTAAGTGGGCCAGAGAAAGCAATGTCAAATCTGAGTTAGGATGGGAAAGGTGATTTAATTTAGATGTTTGAGGTAGCAGAAGGAGTGAAGAAACATACAATAAAAATCCTTTTGTTTGTCAGGCACAGTGACACATATCTGTAATCCTGACCCAGAAGGTTGGGGCAGAAGAATTGCAAGTTTGAGGCCAGCCTGGGCAACTTAGTGAGACCTTGTTTCAAAATAAAAAATAAAATGGCTGCAGATGTAGCTTAGTGCCAAAGCACCCCTAGGCTCAACTCCAAGTACTTAAATAAAATCCCTTTATCTAAGAAATTTAAGGTAAAAAAACATGTTTCACTTAATAAAGAATAGATATTTCTACCTGCTACAATTCCATATTATGGCGAGAAAAAAATGCCCTCTTACTTTGTGAAATGCTGCAGTCTAAAGACTTCCCAAACTTCTGATATTTCCTACATTAATTCTGTTCAATTAAGAAAGAACAGTCCTACTTGGTAAAATATTAAAAGCAACACAAGATCAGTATCACTGGGGAAGAGAACCACAAAGTGGAAGGTTTTTATCTTGAAAGCCATGAGTAGTGTGGCATTCAACTGTCACTTGTCATGCACTGTCCCCACCGACTGGCCGCTCTCACGCAGGGCTCCTATTAAACTGAAAAGGCCCATAATACAACAGGAAAGTGCTCCCTGCCCACTGCAAAGGGGCTGTGCGTATGTGTGAGCTTTTCATAACATCACAGGTCACGTTTTCATTCTACCTAGTACTACACCTTGCTGGAATGTTAAAGGCGCCCATCACTCTGAGCTCAGTTTAGTCTTCTAATTGTGTGTGGGGTTTCTAAAACCTACTCAGTGGTTTAAAAAAAAAAAAAGCAAGGACAGAACAGGCTGCTATCAAAGAGCAAGTTGTCATTCCTTCCCTGGGAAAGGATAGAACTCCAGGACCACTTGATCCAGCCATGCAAACTTTCTGGCCTGGGAGAGAAAATGGATTTTTCAGAATGAGCAAAACCTCTTGTCTTCATTGTGCCATTTTCTACCTTTAGGATCTTGGAC